TCGTATGGATTCAGTGGCCCCAATTTTGGAGAGGAATAAAGAATAAACTCACAATAACACCACACAGCTAACACACACTAACACCACACAACTCACCCACACTAGCACCACACAACTCACCCACACTAACACCACCCAACCCGCCCACACTAACACCACACAATTCACCCACACTAACGCCACACAACTCACCCACACTAACACCACACAACCCGCCCACACTAACACCACACAACTCGCCCACACTAACACTATACAACTCGCCCACACTAACACCACACAACTCGCCCACACTAACACCACACAACTCACCAATCCTCGTATGGATTCAGTGGCCCCAATTTTGGAGAGGAATAAAGAATAAACTCACAATAACACCACACAGCTAACACACACTAACACCACACAACTCACCCACACTAGCACCACACAACTCACCCACACTAACACCACACAACCCGCCCACACTAACACCACACAATTCACCCACACTAACGCCACACAACTCACCCACACTAACACCACACAACCCGCCCACACTAACACCACACAACTCGCCCACACTAACACTATACAACTCGCCCACACTAACACCACACAACTCGCCCACACTAACACCACACAACTCACCAACACTAACACCACACAACTCACCCACACTGGACGATAGTTTACGTCGTAACCCTTTCCATGTGGCTTAATATAATTGTGCTATAGGGCTGAAAATAATGTAGGTGATTTGTAGATTGCAAATCTGTAGGAGAAACACTTTAAAAAAATAAAAACAATCCACTATCCTTGCATGTCTCAAAAGATACTCATTCATAAGTTTGCGGAAATTGAATGTCTTGGAGCAAAGATATCGCAGCCTAACTGTAAACTACAAAACCGCCCTGTTAATACTTTAATGAACGTAAACGGAAAAAGATGAGCACAGGATGTCTGAGACTTATGAGTTAGTAGGTAGGAAAGTGCACGAGGCGGAAGAGCTGACGATAGGTGAGTGTCATTCGGGCGGGCTGGGATAAGATCAGCCTTCTGTCAAAATAGCTGCTACATGATGATGTCGGCTGTGGGGCTAAGTCGATGCGAACGCTTCGTAATGCCGGATGCCGGGTTCAATCCCAGCTGCGGGCCATGCGCCTTGTGTTGGTTTTGACGGTGGTATCAAGAAAGAAATGGCAAAGTACTGGACGTAAATTTGCCTATAAAAACCACACAACAGCCTGGGGCTGTTGGGGTTGGTTCTGCAACGTCCTGTAAAGGATACGCAACTAACCTTTAATGATGATGATGTGGCAGAAGAAACAGTTTTGAAAGCCACACTAGCCCGGCTCGCTAGCGCAGTTTGCTAAACCGGAGGACGCGGCGACCGGGTGACGAACTCCTTGTGATCCGGGTTCACGCCCAAGGGTAGGCAGAAAAGCCACATTTCTCCCAGATTTACGGTATCTATCATGGAATCAAGGCCGAGGGGTTGCGATATCCGTAGTACCGAACCAAGGGGTTAACAACTCATGGTTTCTGGGTACTTGAAAAAAAAAAAAAATCTATACTAGATTAAAACCACACGTAGCCAGCCATGTGTCCGTTCATCTTCAACTCTTATGCAGATCCGCTTGGAGACCGCAACTGTTAACGAGTACACACGTAAACAGTTATATAAATGTAGCAATTGTAGAGGTAACTTTGACCTTCCGCTTGATTAATTAGCATTGTGTTGACTTGGTTACAGCTTGATTAACCGCTACACGTGCCTTATGTGGTAATGTCTTTGTTAACATGTGATTTAGTTTCAGCTCCCGTTAACATATGCTTTAATTTTAGCTCTTGTTAATGCATCTTTTAATTTCAGCTTTTGCTAACAGAGGCTTTTAAATGCCGCCGCGGCTTAGAGGCTAAACGCTTGCATGCGGATCCGATGGTCGCAAGTTCAGGTCCTGATGGAGCCTTTTTTTTTTAAACATTACCTTGGATCCTGGGTCGACCCAGCCTTAAATGGGTAGCAGGTAAATCCTTGGGAATCAAAAGAGCCGACCTCCGGCGTACAGTTGACCACGTCATCCACCTACTGATGATTGCTTTATACAGTATAGGTCTAGCCCTATGTGCCCAATATGGCCAAAGGCGTGGAAAAGAATACTTTACTTTACTTAACAGATGCTTCAGTAATAACTCTTGTTATCAGATGTTGTAGTTACAAGTCTTGTAGCAGATGTTTTAGTTACAACCTTTTTTATCAGAAGCTTTAGTTACAGCTCTTGTTATCAGATATGTTAGTTACAACTCTTGTTATCAGATGTTATAGTTTCAACTCTTGTTATCAAATGCTTTATTTACAACTCTTGTTATCATATGCTTTAGTTACAGCTCTTGTTATCAGATGGGTTACAACTCTTGTTATCAGATGTTTTAGTTACAACTCTTGTTAGCAGATATTGTAGTTACCAGTCTTGTTATCATATGTTTTTGTTACAACTCTTGTTATTGGATATTTTAG